GACGTGAACGTTCGAGAAACTTGTGGCGTGATACTAGCGTCACGTGACCCCCGATGGCGTAACAACACATTTCTTGCTGAACACATTCACGAACGCGCAAATAAGGAAAAAGGCCATGTTTAATACTTATCCTCAACTATGTGTGACGAATTCATAGAAATCCTTCACAAAAAAAGTTCTCACCACCATTATTCAGGAAATCAAAACATCGAAGTATTACTTAGAATGTGTTGATTTTATTCCAGATATATCCCACACGGATCAACTTACAACAATTTTTATATATGTTCTAGATAATGGACGGCCCTGCAGAGATATTTGCCACATTCTTACTGATAAACAATCACGCAGAAGCAGAACTTGCTAGAATTCTCATTAATTTCTTAGATAAGAATTATATAAGATTCAAGATTGTTATGGGCAGTCTTATGATAGTGTATTCAATATGAGCGGCAAATATGTTGGCCTGCAAGCCTTGATCAAAGAGAAGAACTCCCTAACAAACTATGTTACCTGCTGTGCTCATTCACTCAGTTTGTTGGAAAATACACTACAGACTGCTGTACTGAAACTTGTTTATTCTTTCCCTTTGTGCAGAAGCTTTGTGTGTTTTTCTCATCTTCAACCTTTCTGTGGAAGTGCCTACACAATGTACTTCAAAAACTAGGGTTCCCAAAGATTAAGGGGTTACCAGACACAAGATGGAGCACCCATATAAGTGCAATGTGAGTCTTAAAAATGGGTTACAAAGCCATAAAACAAGTCCTTGCTTCCATTACAGACGATGGCTGAAAAGCCTCAAGTGCGCGTAGAGTCAAAAATTCTTATGCTACAAATGGAACAACTAGAAAGAAGTATAATGACGGAATTATGGAAAGTTATCCTGAAAAGGATTCACAAGACAAATCATTCATTACAAAACCACCAAATGAATGTCAGTACAGTTTCTCATCTGCTAAAATCTCTCAAGACATTCGTGCAGGAATTACAAGAATCATTTCCCAATTATAAGTAAAAGGATAAACAACTGTCAGGAAGCGGGAAGTATAAGGTCAAAATCTCAAGAAAAAGGAAGAGAAATACTCGATTTTTCATTCTCTACTCAATATAAATTTGAGATTGTTGTAACAGTAACTGACAAACTGTCATTTACACTAGACAATAGAATATTGACATAAGAAAACGTCAGTTGCAAATTTGAGTTTCTACTAAACTTAGAGTCCATGTCTAAAGAGGACTTCCACAATGCCATCAAAAAGCTGATCGGTACGTATTCTACGGACTTGGAGAGTTACAAAGAGGAGGAAACTGTTCGATTTGCCGCCCTCTGCAAGGGAGAGTTTGTTGAAAAACCATCAGAATCCAAGGAACAAAGTATGCTGAGAATGCGACCAATCTCTGAAATCAACTTTCCTAAACGTTCTAATAGTCTTAAAGATATACCCGTTCCTCGTGTCAAGCAATTGGTTTAGAGAACAATCATTCTCGACACTAAAAACGGATAAAGACTACACTTCGATCAAGATTGTATTAAGACAGGCTAAATGTACCGGCAATTTATGTATAGAAAATGACTTGTCAGAATCGCTTGACATCAAACAGATAATAAACACCTTTGCTACAAAAATAGCCAAGAAGAGAGTAGTTTAACCAAATACGGATGATATGATCTGCTACTACTCGTGAGCATACTATGTGAGTACCAGTGAGATCTGAACGTGTGCGTGTGAATGCGCGAGTTGTTAAGTTTATCTGCATGTGGTTTCCTTCTGTCTACATGATTTGTTGTCCAAGTGCAAATTTTGTCTGTATTAGAACACCACTTTTCCTATTCAAGAATCGCCTAATATTGTTTATTAATTTGTAGATAAGTCTAGAAAATCTGTGGGTATTATTTTCTCATTCACGATCACGATAGTCCTGGTAGAAAAATTTAGCTTCAGGCCCGTCCCTGATAACAGTCACAGTTAAATTTCACTATTTTCTCCGAAAAAAGTAGCCTAAGAGTTGGCAGTAAGTACTTTTGACTGGCTACTTTAATTCTAATCTATTAGTTCAAAATTGGGGGAGGGCTCTGCATGGGTAGCTATTTGCGAAGCTTTGCACAAACAAAAGAAACAGTTTAGTCAGTTAATTAAACAAGATGTAATTTGTTGTTTCTGATGCAAGATCTTCGCTTCAACATGATTTGCCGTAACTGATAACGGTATGAATGATTAGAAGAACATTCAACAAATAATAGATTAAATGACTCTTATGCAACTTTCCCCCCAGTGGTACAGCAGAATGTCTGCGGACTTACAATGCTGGAATCCGGGTTTCGATACCCGTGGTGGCAGAGCACAGATAGCCCATTGTGTAGCTTTGTGCTTAATTACAAACAAACAAACTTATGCAACTTGATACGAAAAATATTAAACAATTTGATGCATAATAATTTCTATTTGAATATTAAAATAGACTCTAAATGGTGGAAAATGAAGTTTTATAGTGAATATTAAAAGCATGGTAATACCAAAAAACAAAAGACAAAAAAAAAAGAAACATCATACATTAACTCATAAGTATAGTCAATAATTCAATCAATTCCATATTATCAGTGTTTTTATTTGATTATCATTATTATTATTGTTACGTCTCCGTTTGTTAATTAAC